CACATTATGTGTGTCCTGCTGAGTCACAGGTGCCTTTCTGATGCCAAGGCTGAGAGTTGGCGTATGTGTATGTATGCATGTGCCCTCTCCTTGTCCAGCACTGAAAGCTGTCCTTTGTGTATGTTTTGGTAGTTCTGCGGGGTTGTCTGTACAGAATTCCCGCCTGCTGAAGTAATGTCAGCATCGGAAAAGCCTCTATTGTAGTTCTGACAATGAAACGCCTCTGTCGAACCTCACTGCGAGAAAAATGGGCCTGGTTTGTTTTTTGCCTGGCTTAATTTCTCACTTCTCTCTGTCATATTCACAAATGCATGCCCAAACATTCCACCAATCTGCCCTCTCACTCAGACTGGGTCTTGCCTTTTCTTCTCTGCTTGCCTTTTCTTGACCCCCTGTCTCTTTCTCTTGCCCTTTCTCATTCTGTTTGAATGGTCTCAATATACTCCACTGTAAAACATTAGATTTCTCACGACAAACCACATTTTTTTCCTGAAATGTTAAAAACCAAACCACAATTTGTGCATCCTCTAGAACAGACGGAAGCCAGAATAGATACTGTAATAACACCACCATTTGACTAACCATGCATAAAAGGCTGTGTGAAAATATTACTATCTTGTGAGAAAAAAAAGCGACCTTGAGTTTACTCTCTAACATAGCTGAAGATGGCCAAAGAATGTTGGAGATTAGTTACAGTAGCTTTGTTTTGATTGTTAGAGGTATTTTTGGAGGGGTTGTAGATGGCCTTTATCAGAGCTGAATGTACAGACAAAATCTGCTGATGTCAACCAGTGAACAAATCCAAGGCAGAGAGACAAAACACAACCCAACGCTGTGGTGTTTAGTCTTTGTTCAACCTGAGCATGTTGCTGAAGGCAATGTGAAAGTGTATTCTGCTGAGAATAAAGAATCATGCCTAGGTGTGGTGTTATGGTGGTTTCATAGCTCTATTATTGTTTAACCCGATTCTCTGAATAACATCTTTCCTTTCCTCTGGCAGCGCTGTAAGGATTGCCTAAATAAACTGGCCATTGCAGTTATGAACCAATGGCCAGGTGTTCGACTACGAGTGACCGAAGCCTGGGACGAGGACGATAATCATCCATCTGGCTCTCTGCATTATGAGGGCCGTGCTGTGGACATAACCACCTCAGACAGAGACATTAAAAAGTATGGCCTCCTTGCTCAGTTGGCCGTCGAGGCCGGGTTCGACTGGGTATACTATGAGTCCAAGTATCACGTGCACTGTTCTGTCAAAGCTGGTAAATCTCTTTCAGTCTGAATGTGCTTATATGACATGTTATATGATTGCTTTTTATTTTTTTATTAAATTTTTTTTTTTTTTTTTTGGGGGGGGGGGGGGGGGGGGTCTATATACATGAGTGACAAATTAAAGGGAAAAAACAAACATAAAGTGTCTTAGTAAGGTGTCAAGCCACTGCAAGCAGCCAGAACAGCTTTAATGCACCTTGACCCAGATTCTCTGAAACTGGAGGGATGAATGGCATTCTGGCAAGAGATATTCCCTTAACTGTTGTTGGATGATGTTGGTGGTAGACAGCCACCAAAACCTTCCATAGCTGTTCGACTTGATTGAGATCTGGTGACTGTGAAGGCCATAGCATATGATTGACATAATTTTCATACTCATCAAACTATTTAGTGAGTCCTTGTGGCCTGTGGATAGGGGCGGGGTCATCCTGGAAGATATCACTCCCATCAAGATATAAATGTTTCGTCATAGGATGAAGTTGGTCAGTCAGCAGAACTTTGTATTGATTTGCAGTGATGCTTCCCTCTAAGGGGACAGGTGAACCCAATCCATGCCAGCAAAAGCCATGCAATAGCATAACAGGAACCCTGTTTTTCCTTTAATTTGTCACGTGTCTGCATATTATTTCATAATATCCATAACATTGTGAATTAGTCTAAATTGCTGCTGTTGCTCTGTTTCTCCATTTCTCAGATCACTCTGTTGCAGTGGAGAAAGGAGGCTGTTTCTCAGCTTCAGCACTCGTGACTGTGGCTGAAGGAGTGCAAAAGCCTATGTCTCATCTGCAGCCTGGAGACTCAGTGCTTGCTTTGTCTGAGTCCGGTGGCATAATCTTCAGCCGTGTCCTCCTGTTTCTACATTTGGACGCTGAGCAAAGGTCCACTTTCCTGATTCTCAGCACAGAAAATGGGCACAGACTTACAATTACACCCAATCACCTCATCTTCATGGCTCCCAACCTCAAGTTATACTACCATGAGTACTATGCTAGCTTTGCTAGTCAAGTCACAAGGGGAACCTATGTACTAATTTGTGGAAGGGATGGTCGTGTGCATCCCTCCAAAATAGTTTCTGTCTCACAGGAAGAAAGAATTGGGGTTTATGCTCCATTGACGGAACACGGCAACCTGTTTGTGGATGGTGTGCTGGCATCCAGTTATGCATCTATAGAGAATCAGAGGGTGGCACACTGGGCATTTGGGCCTCTTCGCTTCCTGGTTGGACTGTCACAAGTATTCATGGCAGTGAATCCACTAACACTGATGATGCAAGGTGCTGCTGAGGTTTACACAATCTGTCCGTCTCACCAAATTCTTTCCAGAGAACATACGAATGTGATACATAACAGTTCAGGTGTAGTTCACAATGCAATGAACGAAATGAACAGCACATGTTTAAAAGATCATCGTTCTAAGCTATATTTTGATTGTCTGGGGGGCACACAAGTAGGGGTTCACTGGTATGCAAGGCTGCTATGTACGATTGCTCAGATTTTCTGGAAACCTCATTTTGTGACTGAAGATCCAGGACAAGAGATACCAGTGACTCCTTTCTGTTAGGGTCAGAAAATTCTAACCAAATAAAGGCTACTTACCCAAAAAAAAAACAAACAAACAAATACAAATTAGAATGAACTGATATGTAATGTAGTATTATTAATTCCCTTCAGTGTACAATTCAATATTTTGTTGTGGTCATTCATAGATTTGAAGTACACTGTATAGCATAATGGTTGTTTTTTGACTGTGGCACATGTTCATGTCAGATTCAGAGCAAACATTTTTATACAGAAGAGGGAATATTTCTTAGAAAAAGGCTATTTTTATACTTTTGGATTTATAATATATAAACATTTTCAAGTTATAGTAATTAATCTCATGACTTCATGTCTTTTTTTACACCTGCCCTTTAGACTGAGAAATCATGTGTTTGATGATGAACTGTAGGCTATGCTAATGTTCCATGGGTTGCAATGGCTGATGCAATTTTTCAAAAATATAACAGGGCTTTGTTATATTTGTTAGCCGTCCTTTGTTAGTGTCCTGCTGCAAACGTCTCTCACTTTGGAGTCCTGGAGTAACTGGCAGGCCAGTTATAATAATAATAATAATAATAATAATAATAATAATAATAATAATAATAATTCATAGTTAACTCTGGACAGCACAGCTGATTTCTGATTTGGGTTTTAAATAAATCAGTATGCTACTTTACAGACAGACTCTATGCAATTCTTCTATTTTAGTACAATATAAGATTAAAACACAAAAGCCTTAAACAAGAATTGTTATAGAATAGCTTGCTGAAAGATAAAATTCAAATGAGATGGGCATTTTTCATGGTTGATATTTGAGTCTAGAATTTGGTTAATTTGTGGATATTTTGAAGCATCTGTATAATTTTTCTCCTTTTTTGTCTTCTTCCATTTCTCTGTGATCATCTTCTGCATTGTTAATTTTGTATTTTAGAAGAATTAACAAGCTCCAGATTGCCACGTGTCAGAACATTTTTTTAAAATTTTGATCTTGAGAGTGTTTTTATTTTGGACACCACTTCACCCTAATGATAATATTTTACACCCCCTTGTGGACAATATGCGCTATACAAGGCGTCTTGAGCTGATCATTAACTGGTCTCTGCTTATAAAAAATATTTAACATGGCTATTGTACATTTTACATGTGCTAAATATGTAACTGAGGTTGAAGCCCAAAGGAGTGGTTTATTAATGTTCATACAACTGGTTATGTACATGTGCAGGGTGTTAGAAAGTTCACCAAATGGCAAACAGGGGTTTTAAAAATCGCAATCAGGCTGTTAATTATAGTCCTGATTTATTTATTTATTTATTTTTACCAATATACTACATAAAATATGAAGAAGCACTTTCATAAAGCTGCATTACAAGCAATACAAACTACAGGGATGTATGTTATTCACAGATGTCCTTTAAATGATAAAATCTAAAGGTCGCTGTCAGTGAAAACAAATAGCATTGGTTTCAGCATCTTAATCAGGTTAGACAACATTCAAGCTACTCTTCAAGTGTCTCCTTGGAACACATCTGTCACCAAGATGGGTATGTACATATAATGTAAATAAAAAATATAAGGGAATAAGGAAAAGCTTTTTTTAATGTGAAAAATAAATCAACTAACTAGAGTCCAGAGATACCCTGAGCAAAGTCATAAAGTCAATTTTTCAGCAGAATTTACAATATATTTAACCTGTGGTCTTTTTCTAGTATTTTTGGACAGCTGTTGAGATATGTATTAAAGAGGATTATCCCTTTGATGGAGGCTGCAGATGGGCACAAATCCACCTAAGCAGCTTCTGGGATTCATGTGGCCAATAGGAGACACCGCATCAGGAAACCACACCCTCAATTATAGTTGCTAACCAATCAGGTCTTGGGGGTACTAGACTTCAGGGTTAATTCTAATCCTGAAGAGAGGCGTGTATGTGTTTACTAGTCCTAGCTGTGCACAGTCACCAGCTACAGTTCTGTGTGTAACAAGTATATACAAATGTTGTTCTTCATCTTTTGGCTGCTCCCGTTAGGGGCCACCACAGCGGATGACTGGTCTGCATATTTGATTTGGCACAGTTCTTTTTTTTTTTTTTTTTTAAATACGCCGAATGCTCTTCCTGATGCAACCCTCCCTGATGCAACCTTTTTTTTTTTATCCAGGCTTGGGACTGGCACTGGGAGTGCACCATTTTTGTGATTCCCTGGCCGGGAATTGAACCAAGGCTGTGGCGGTGAGATTGCCAAGGCCTAACCATTAGTCCTCCAGGGACCTATCAAGTATATACAAATAAATAATCTATAATATTTCAAGGTGATAAATAGTTACTGACTATGGCTTATAGTCTATATGTGCATATCATAAACCATACAGTACAGAAATACATCACCATATTTATTTAGATTAGTCTGCCAGGGAAATCCTTGTGTTGTATTTGGTGGCTTTAACATTTAAGGGATATATATGGCATCATTCATGGATCAAAAGATATACACTAATTACATTCAGACATTAGGACACTAAGTATCAGATCTCACTAAAAGCTTTCCTTAAAATACTTTGAAGTTTTACACACTTTCAAATCACTACCAAAACTTTAATCCTTTTGTTCTGTTTGAATCAAAATGATCTGTTTTATACTTTACTTAAAGTATAACCATACTAAAACATTTTGGGTTTTTTCCAACATTAAAATTTATGTGTTTGGCTCAATTGAAAACAGACACATTTACTTTTGGCACATCTGCTATACCCCTGATTCAATTTAATATTACAAAGGTCATTTGGGCAGCATGGTGGTACAGTGGTTAGCATTACTGCCTCAAAATTCAAGGGTCCCTGATTTGAGCTTCCTGAGCTTGGTTACTGTCTGTGCACAGTACTGTGCTGTTTCACATGTTGTTCATGTAGGTTTCCTCTAGCTTCTTCAGCTTCATGTCCCTGTGTTGATGTGGACCTGGAGCGGTTGGAACACCAGTCCATTACAGGGCATCATGCACACACTCGTTGACAATTTTTTTAAGCCAATCCACTTACTGACATGTTTTTGGGAGTACTGTGCTGTTTCACATGTTCTCCCTGTGTCCATGTGGGTTTCCTCTAGCTTCTTTAGTTTTCTCCCACTTCCCAAAAACATGTCAATAAGTGGATTGGCTTAAAAAAAAAGGTCCGTAGGTATCAATGAGTGTGTGCATGAAGCCCTGCGATGAACATACAGTGTTGCTGGGATAGGCTCAAGGTTCAGCTAGACCATGACCAGAATATAGCGGCTACTAAAGATGAGTGAATGAGTGGATTTTTGGGGTCATTTTGACCTGACATCAAAAGGTTTTTTACAAAAAAAAAATAAAAATAATTATATATATATATATATAAAACAAATGGATGAATTCACTCTAGGATACAGGACCTCCATGTCTTATTTGAACTTATACTTGATTACACAACAGCAGCTGGGTGGAGCAGGTTCCCAACCCTGGTCCTGCACATTTTAATGTTTCCCTCCTTCTAACACACCAAATTCAACTAACCAGCTAATCAACAGCCCTTTTTAAGCTGTTGTGGGTTTGCTGGAGCAGGTAAAAAACACTGAAATGTGCAGGATCAGGGTTGGGAACATGCGCTCAAAAACACTGATGTATTCAAGGTTACAGGACAAAATATTTTCTGTCTCAGCTGCTCAAAGTCATTATGACCCGTGAACAGTGCATCCATTTGTAAGAAGCGAACAGAGCACAGGGATTAAACATCATTGTCATGCACGTCTTTTCATTCGGGGAAATACTTTGAAAGGGAAATATCTGCATCGCTCTAGTATACACAAAGTGAAAGCGAGCGCACCATAATGATTATTGATGGTAAACAAGCTTGCTGGAAAATGGCTGCAATTCAATTTGTAGCGAGCCATGAGTAGATCTGCGTTACACTGTTTCACATCAGCACACGGCCGGAAAGGAATATTTAAAGCCTTGGTGACAGAAAAGGCAACAAATATTTGCTTGCTTCGTGTCTCTGCGTAAAATTTTGGTGGAGAACCATGAACAAAAGCAACATACCCGGCTAAGCCCAGTCTTAGCCCTGGCGCTTTGGGATTGATTAAAATGGACGTGGCAGTGACTGAGAATTCAAATGACTTCCAAATGGAAACAAAGAATTTACGTTAGCTAACTAAGCTCAAACATTCGCAAACAACAACAACATTAGATCACATTAGTCGTGGGAACCGTGGTGAGCGATAGAGGAATTAATACTTCTGGATAAAAGATAAGCGAGAAAAAAAACTTAGTCAAAGCAAGCGAGTCTGTCAAGCTTTATTACAAAAACACACACAAACATACAGCCAGGAAAAGCGAAAAGCCAGCTACGCAGTTAACCTTTCAAACGGCTTCAAATTAGCAAAGAAGCGAGCAAACTAGCAGCTCCAGTCCCATCCCGCCTCCTGTGTGGGGATCTGAGTTTCTTTTTTGGATTCGGCTCGCCTATAGGAGTACAATATGATTAATTTGGTTAGCCATCTTGTACGCTAGCTAATACATGATCAAGTTAGCAGGCGTTACAAGCAGCTAAGGGCTTCGGGCACTTCCCCCAATCCACAACACAGCGCTCAGCCTGCTCAGCTTTATGAAATGAAACCAATACACACGGATTTGTGTCCGTAGGACTGTTTCTGATGATGTATGAGGACGCGAGTGTGGTTCTGTAAGGTGAGTTCAACTCTTATAACCTGTTTTTTTCCTGCTAGTTTGGAAATTAAGTTGCCATGCTAGCTAGCAGGATGAAGTGGTGCACGGTGTTTATTCATGTCTTTTACCTTACTGTAGCAGTTAACCTCGTACCTGAGCTGGCATAGTTTACTATACAGGATAGTATCAGCATGAAATGTTTGCTAGCTTCTTATGTATTTGATTTACCAGCTAGCAAAGTTTAAAAAGGTACATCTTAGCTAGCTATCTCATATGTCTAAATGTTTTGAGACTCGTTCGGCAGGAAAACAAATCGCATCGTTACTTTATATACCTAGCTAAGATGCACGAATGGTGTGCCCTTGGTGTTAAAGGCAAGCGATAAGTTAGCTTAGCTAGCTAACTGCCTGCTTATCGATGAAGTTCAAATAGTACCTTTAGCTAATGGCTGGATTGTTTTCACCACACTGAGTCTTCGTATGTTGGCAAATGGACACTGTTTGTGGCCAACTTTGGCCTGTTTTACTGACAGGAGTCTCGCTAGCTTAATGTGCTATAAGTGTTAACTCGTTTGCTAAACATATAGCTTTGTAAACTAAGACGTTAAGTTTGTTTGTGGGTAATAGTAGCTAACTAACTAGCCAGTGTCTACATCTACACACACTGCGTTTAGGTTTACAGGTGATAAATGCCTCAGTGTTAAATGTTTTCCTGAATGTTGAGGAAACGTTCTGGGTAACACACTTTGCCGCGGATGGATATGCTTTTAAGCTAACTAGCTCGAGTTCGCTGTTGAGCACACTCCTGGCCTTGTTATATTTTGCTGACTACTTTTAAAGTTCACGAACTTCTCAGTACCAGTTCCCTTGTTGTGTTTCATGTGTTTCGTGGTCTTCTAGTTATATTTAGGGTGCTAGTTTAATGCTCGGTCGCTAGTTAGAGGAACTTTCCCCGCTGTGTGTGTTGAATAGTTTGCTAGCAGTCCACTGACCCATTATTTTGGATTAGGAGAGCTAGCCATGTTTAGCTGCGTACTTATATTTTCTGATGGATGAAAGTGCATATCGTGCACACAGAGACTTGCGTAAAGTGGTAAATGGTGGTATTGTATAAATTAAACGTCCACCTTGAATAAATGTCCATTTTCAGAATAATAAATAAATTCAAAATAAAGGAGCAGCCAGCTGACTCTGGGATTTTGCTCGCGCTCGCTCTCTCTCTCCCTCTCCCTCTCTCTCTCATAATTAAGCTAATGTTGACAGCTTGCATTAGTGTATTGGTCTGGTATGAATTTTAGTTTAGAATTTTATGAACCAGCTAGCTAATATAACTAGGTAGTACTTCCAGGATTTTTCTTATTACCGCTGGCTGTATCTTTGTTGTTGTTTTGAGCTACAGTGAGGAGCACATTTGCATGTGCACGTTGCAGGCACTACAGCTTATTTACATTGCCTGGCTGAGATCACATCTCTTCGTATAGGACTGTACTGTACTGTAATCAGGTCTCTTTTTTTAAAGCATTTATTTTTTGGAACAGAAATATTTAAACACATTTAAAAGACTGCAGTTTCTCTCTCTTGGATTCTCTACACACCCTCTTAGGCACAAATTATGTTTAATATATATATACAATATATATACAGTAGCTTTCAAAAGCATTGACAAGAAATTCACCAGTTGTGATCAACATGGTTTTGGTGATGTAGGTTGAAAAAAGTGTTGTATCTGAAATACCACAAGAGAGACCAAAAAAAAAAAAAGTTTTAAACGTCTAACCAGTGCAGTTTCCCTTCAGTTTCCTTTACTCAACTGTGTGTTGTCATAGGAGGAAACACATGTAAATCAAGGGATGTGGGGGAACAACGATTTTTAACGGTACTGGCAATAAGACTGATTTTTTAAAAATAGTTTTATGTGGCCTCAATAACCTCATGGTATAACTGTTCTTTTCATGGTTTATTTATTTAGATGTACAAGCAGTCACCATGTCTCTTGACTCAAAAGCCTAAATCCAACCCACAAATAAATTACTTAAGGATTAAAACACAATCTAGCGTTGCGTATGGCTGTATCACACCACTCTGTCGTGGATTATTTTCTCATAACAGCACCATAGCACCATTTGTCAATGATTGCAATTTTTTATTTATTAGTGAACAGCATGTCATGCTTTTAATCCATTTATTTTCCTCATGAGTTGTTACTATAGAAATGATAAGATACTAGAAGGAGCACATTAAATATAAACCTTTGATTTGAATTACAACCATGACTATTGTCAGAGCTGCTGTTAAAGAAAATTAATCAACTACTTAACCTGATCTGACAGCGAGTAATTAGGCAGACTAAATTTGTTTAAGGTTATGTTTTTGTTAAATTTGTCATTATGTTATTAGCTTTTTAAATAATATAAAAGTCTTGTGTTAATAACTACAACTTAACGATCTG